ATTATGTTGCTTGAGAAGCATGCATGGTCTGCTTTTATGAAATCCTGTTCATTTGCTTTTCTTCTAATTGCTACGCCTATAAAGCCATGATTATTAAAAGGAGTTTGACCAAACTTGTACATAGTATCTTATCCAGGATGCATTATATTCAATGCAATGCACCAACATCTAAACCAAACTGATTGACAAGAAGTGCATGCATGTCAAGAATATAAAGCTTTTGTATATATATACGTGTCAAATTCGCATGTTAAAATGTAATAAATTAAATACAATTTAAAGATATTATGATACATAAGAACTTTTGAGCATGTCATCAATAATCTAAGAAACTTTAACATTGTGTTTCTACAGTTTTTTATTTTACAGCTAACAGACCTGGTTTTCAGCTCCTTAATAACTGGAGCATCAAGGCTTGTAGCAATTGACAATGCAGACAACTCCATAAATAACTGCTTTGTTGTTGGTTGAGGAATAAATGTTGACTAGGAAAGGAAGCAAAGACATACCTTACAAAACACGTATAGTGTTACTATGTATTAGACCAGACATACCCCAAACAGTATCAGCTGTTTGGATTTATATAACGATATGTTTAAGATAATAGAATTAACAAATACCCCGTACAAGAGTGAACATTATATGAAGTTCCCTAAAAATAGCCTGATAGGATACCATAATATTCATCATTCTTAAGTTAAAGGTTTGAATAAATGTAACTAAGTTTCAACATACAATTTTTTTGTTAGCATGGAGTAAGAAAGCTAGCACATTACTTTTTTAGTGAAGCAGCCACTTGTATACATGTTGTAAGAAGGCTAGCACATTAATTTGTTAGTGAGGCAGCCACTTGTATACATGTTGTAAGGAGGCTAGCACATTAGTTTGTTAGTGAAGCAGCCACTTGTATATATACATGTTGTAAGAAGGCTAGCACATTCATTTGTTAGTGAAGCAGCCACTTGTATCGTGTTGTAAGAAGGCTAGCACATTCATTTGTTAGTGAAGCAGCCACTTGTATCGTGTTGTAAGAAGGCTAGCACATTCATTTGTTAGTGAAGCATCCACTTGTATACGTGTTGTAAGAAGGCTAGCACATTAATTTGTTAGTGAAGCAGCCACTTGAATACATGTCGTAAGAAAGCTAGCACATTAATTTGTTAGTGAAGCAGCCACTTGTTTACATGTTACAACTAAATATGTCTTCAACAAATTCCTAATTTTGATAAAAGTTGGTATTTCTCTAAAAAAATATTCAAAACCTAATAGAATAAAAAACGGCTCTTGCCATTTTAAGTAGAAATGTTGCCTACCATCATCCCAAAAGAATTCAACTGGAATTTAGAAATGTTTTATTTTATGTATGTACCGGAATATTTATGTTTGATTTATAGAAAACTTCAAATTAAAAAATAATCTGAAATGCACAATCTAGTTATATGATTATTTTGCATCTGAATTAGTTCTTATTGTGTTGTAAAATGATTTCAACGTTGAATACTTTATTTACATATACCTCCTTTGGTCTTTGTTCAATAGTTGTCTCCTTCGCAATTATACTACATCTCCTTATTTTTATACCAGTTTTAGAAATCTGCAAAAATTACTGGATTGTGGCAAATTTTTCAAACAATATATTAGTTTACTGTTTATTTTGTGAGCAATCATTGACCGTATGCTTGAGTAGGAAAATATTTGTTGTTAATATACACGAATGTATACAAATTAGAAGGAGAAAAAATGTTGAACATATCATTTATTGCAGTTCTTTACTTTAAAGGTTGTTGTAATGCCTTCAACCATGAACACATTGATAGAGCGCTCTGTAAAGGTCACGACCACTTATTTTTTACATGTAGAATTTGAAAGACAATTCCAAATAATTGTGTACTCTTCATGGAAAGGTGGGGATTGATTGTTGGTTGCTTAACGTCCAGTGGCAAATATTTCATGCATGTTCTGACGAGGAATGGCGAGTGGGACCACGCCTCACATCAAGCTCTTTGAATGGATACAACAAAGGCAAAGGCAAATGCAAAAAGATTCTATTTACTATATTTGCGGCCTTGGTCACTATAAGATGATTTATTATGTTTTATGGGACACTGAGTTCTAAAAAAAAAGTTTTTAATGAGGTTTTAGCCTAATCTAGGTTCTGATGTGACTTACTTAAAATGTTTCATTTTCTGTTGATAAGGAGTAGTATCAAAACATGTTTATCTTTAACATGTTGTCAGGTTAAACACGTAGAGGGTTAAACATTTTTAAGCTTTAAACACTTTTCTCGACGTGTTTAGGAGAAAAACATATTAAGGATGAGAACGTGTTTACAAATGCATTACAAGTAACATGTATAGGTTTATGTTTAGGCCCTAAACACATTTTTTAGAGTGTTGTTTTCTTTTCAAGCAAACTGTTGGGTTCCAGTACATGGTGTCTCTAGTCATGCTATATATATGGTATTCACTTTTATCAATTAGTATCGCTCCTTATTTGCTGAATTTCAAAAAATTCTTATTTTAAATTATTTTCAATTTAAGGGAATGTATTATACATTAAAAGCAATATAGATGTGTTGTGTATTATGCATCCCCTTTTTAAAATAAAATCATTTTTGATATTTGATATTTTTTTATTTCAGCATTATGAACATGATGAATTTGAGATATATACAACTATTCAGTGAGAGAAAACAAATGGGGAAAGGGGATTATACAATTATTAACAAGTAAGTTTCAATACTATTCAGGAGTTAAATATGTGAGTTGAGTAATTATCAAAATTGATAAGTGGCGTAGGGGTGGACTGAAAAGTGATGGGATCACACTTTAGTGACAATTAAAAAAAAAAAAAAAAAAAAAAAAAACTTCTTAAGTTTGAAACTATAAGTTGTATATATAAAGATAAGAAGATGTAGTATGATTGCAAATGAGGCAACTCTCCACAAAAGACCAAATGACACAGAAATTAACAACTATAGGTCACCGTACGGCCTTCAACAATGAGCAAAGCTCATACTCCATAGTCAGCTATAAAAGGCCCCGAATTGACAAATGTAAAACAATTGAAACGAGAAAACTAGCGGCCTAATTTATGTACAAATTAATGAACGAAAAACAAATATGTTACACAGCAACAAACGTCAACCACTGAATTACAGGCTCCTGGCGGGACAGGCACATACAGAATGTGGCGGGGTTAAACAAGTTTGTTGGCGCCAACCCTTCCCTAACCTGGGATTGTGGTGCAACGGCACAACACAATATCAAACTACACTAAACAATATACGAAAAACAAATATGAGAAACAACAATAAGCGACAACAACTGAATTACAGGCTCCTGACTTGGGACAGGTACATATAGAATGTGGCGGGGTTAAACTAGCTTCAAGGCGCCAACCCTCCCCTAACCTTGGACAGTGACGTAACAGTACAACATAAGAACAAACTATAAAAATCAGTTGAAAAAGGCTGAACTCATCAGATGGATACACATAAAAATACTGTACCATCTAACAAAAACAGAGAGTGGACGTGGCAAGGTACTTCTACATCCACACAACAAAAAGACACTACGTACAGATCTGGGAGTATTCGCAGTTACTGACAGCTAGTTCAAAGCCAATAACAACTAATAAAAAAAATCGTGACTAAAACATCAATCAGTACACATCCAACATCCAATGGATTTAGTTTAAAGACGTCATTAACAGACAGAGAAAACATGACCTTGTGCAATGCCAAGATACATGTACCGACAGATTGTAGAGCCATGAATGGACATGAATGTGCATATGTATATACAAATAATATTTAGTTTGATTTTAATTAACTGATAACAAAATCAATATCAATACCAATAAAACAATATTCAAAGATCTAATTACAGTGTTGAATTGGCAACCTTTTAGAATAAGTTTAATTAAAGGATGGATAAGTTTACCCGGATCGTTTCTAAAGTTTCCGGGCTCGGTAAACAACATTTCCGGAAAAAAATTGGATGCGCTATATCGTTTGAGATAAGTTTTCTACAGATACAACCAAACTTCAAATCGTTTGAAATAAGTTTTCTACAGATACAACCAAACTTCAAAACCAAATCTGTATATCTATGAAGAATTATTTAAGTAAAGGTTTTAAGTGATTTGTGGTAACGAAATCCCCGACTTAATAATTTATCAGTAATACATAAATTACGTTCGTTGAAATCCAAAACGTCACAACAGACACGGGCATAGCGAACGAGTTGTGATATATTAACACCGTAAGATGGTGCCAAAGGAACATCACCGTCCAAAAAAGGAAAATTAACAATAGGGAATGAAAATCGTCCCTTTTGTCGAAAATTTTAGTGGTAGAGTTTCCCGTGTAAAACTGAAATATCTAAATCTAGGAAAGGGCAGTTATTACCGTTTATATTTGATTTATTTAAAGTAAATTCCTTTTGGTAAATTTCGGCAGTATATTTAGAAAATTCTTGATTATTTAACGTAAAAGTATCATCAAGATAACAGTGAGTGTTGTTGAATTTATCAATTAACTGCAATTTAGACGGGTCTTTCCTGCGTTTGGTCATAAACTGTGATTCATAACAGTACAAGAACAAGTCTGCTATTAAAGGGGCGCAATTGGTGCCCATAGGAGTAGTCTACAAGTTAATCAGTGTCCTCTTTCATTGTCAATTTTTTTTTAATTTTCAATATTGTTTACCAAAAAACTGAGACAAATTAAATATTGTAACAATATGAGTTACATAGATATAAGCAAAAAGTAGTTATGGGGGAACAAAACAAAAATGTGGCACCCCCTCCCAAAAAACAAACTCCAACCCTCTGTTCCTCCGCCCCTGTTGATGGCTGTTTATGACTGTAAGAGTTGTCGATTTTTTAATGTCATAAACCAGAGATGATAAGGTGTTATTTGTCTTTGCATAAACCGTGAAAAAAAGGCATCCGAAACTTATTATCTGCTCCGTCATTGTTTTTGTTCTTGATTTTTATTTCGAGTCAAAGTCTTGAAACGTTTTAAATAAATGTAAACAGGATCAAAATTTATTCTTTTTGCGCATTTGTAAATGTTTAGTCATGTATTTGGAGTAATACAGTAAGAAGACTGATCAATTTTGTTTATAAGGTAACATTTGAAAAGGCCTGCTGAGTTTCAAGCTACTTTTTTTTATCAAACACTCGCTGCATCTTCAGACTTCAGACTTCTGAAGCTAACGGTCGAAAAAACAGGTCTATATCTCCAAAAAGCAAAATCAAGCTATATAAACCAATCTGGCAGATAAGGTGTAATCAGTGACTGGAGTGCTTCATCTCTTTCCTGACCTGGAGGTAAGAGCTGTTTTTTTCAGATTTTCTGGCATGTCGAAAGGTTTTCCCCTTTTGAAGTTTTGTGGTTCTGATTCTTGAGTGATTTTCTGCTTTGTGCAGCCATATCAGTTCTGTAAATATGCTGTTGGTGCTAATATGATGCTGGTCTGTAATTTCTTTGGCAAGAGTTCTATATGACCATACTAAATGACAGAATATATTCATTAATTTGAGATGAAAAACATCAATAAAAATGTTGTTCCAGTGCTTTTATCTGTGCATGTGTGCATGTACTGATTTTGCGACATGGATGGGTACCCCATCTTCTTTCTTTTCTATTAGAATACTTTAGTTTTAAAATAGTTCGTTTTCCTGTGTCAAATATCATTGATGTAAAAAATCTCTGCAGTGTTGAGATCAATACATCATCGTCTGTATGGAAACATCCACATACAATGTACATGTATGGGTGATATCACCTTAGGGTTGTTTTATATCAGGGATTTGGGGTCAAACTTGAACAGTGTGGTCTACTTTTTTAAGTGGAAATCAATTTAAATTATTATATTTGCTAAATTTTTCTGTCATGTCTGTGGTAAAAATTTAAACTAGGCATGTGCATTAGAAAATGAGTTACAAAATGTAATCAATGTTATTATCCCCGGCTTAGTATATTTCTAGGATTCTGATTGGTTAACGCACGTCGTTACAAAACCCATAGCCCTGGGTGTTGCTAATCCATATACCCAGGCATTGCTATCCATTACGCCGGGGAACTTCACACGCATTTTCCTTAGTTTGGTTGTTCCTTGTGAAATGTCGAAAATCTGTAGATTATCCCTAACGATTATAACTAACGATTGTATCATTAATGTCGATCATTTGCACTCATTTTAGTAAATGCATCACTTGGCTGCCACATTGTCAATAAATGGGACTACTGACCTAGCTATGCAAATATTAAATGACCCATGTTGACATCACACCGTTTATGATGTACATGTAACTCTCACAACATTGAACGCCAAATTTGACCCATTCCCGTTTCCCTGTATCTGGATTACAAACGTCTTATACTTGACTACCTGTAGGGTTCTACCAAACATGCCAAAGGTAGTACCCTACACCCCGTTAAAAATATGTCAAATTCCCAAAATTCAATAAAAGATTTTTAAAAAGTGAAAAAAATGTTGCTTTCACGTTACACTTTGTGTTCGAATTTCTCTAAAAATTGCCAGATTTGGACTAAGACCGGGGCTAAACTCATTATCTACTTTCATATCCGTAGATACATGTATGGATATTTTAACACCCTTCAGAACCCTGTACACCCATTCGGCTTCGCCTCAGGATGTACTTGGATACTTCAGGGTGTTAAAATATCCATACAGTACATGTATCTATGGATATAAACGTAGATAACTTATAATATGACTTTTTCAATCTCCACGGTAAAACAACTACATGTATTTGATATAAAACAACTGAAGACCATGTTATCTGCATGTATTTATCTTTATTGATAAATGCTACACAAAGACAACAACATCGTAGATTACTGCAAGGAAAATCTTTATTATGGTCTACATGTTTCGCCACTTACAGTGGCGTCTTCAGGACAATTTAAACATAGAAAACAAATACTGAAGTACATAAAATGCGGTGCATATGGGGTTACAAAGGTTAACAAGACGTAACGTCACAATAATTGATTTGACAACGTTAAAATGAAGGTGAAAGTAAAAGTTAATAATGAATTGTCAGTGTCTTTTCCAAAATGGACAACACCTCACAGGACATTCCGTACCATTCCAAAAGGCTTCACTCGGAAAGAGGTACTACTTCCAATTGCGTCGGGAATGTTGTAAGATGTATGGTAGTCGCACATGTAGGGCATGGTGGAAGTTGTGGTGAATTGGTTACATTTTGCGGTTGTGGTACACTATCCATGTTGCAAGTTTATTTCAACAATAATCGTGCGGTTCTGAGGTTCAGTACGTTTTGCGGTGGTCTTCTTTTGATCTTGAGTGGTAGTAGTTCATTTGTTGACTTTCTAGAATAATTCGGCAATCTCGGAAGGGGTCGATATTGTCAATGCGGTGTGGTTGTCAAATACAACGCGGGTTTGGCAAAGGTGGATCGTCTAGATGCAGGGGTTCACAAAAAATCATAGGTTGCATCGAGTGAACCAACACCTTCTAACGGTACAGGCTGGTAGAGAGTAATCAGGATGGATACCCGGAGGTATGCTGCGGTTGTCTTAAAACCTCAGGAAAATAATGCTACACAAAGACAACAACATAAAGATTTTCCTTGCAGTAATCTACGATGTTGTTGTCTTTGTGTAGCTTTATTGATAAATGTTAACAAGGAGTAGGCCCGTTAAGACCCTTTTTTGGCCCCAAAAGTTTGCACTTTTACAAAATTTGTTGAAATGTAAACTTTTAGCTATTTATGATGACATGTGTTTATTGGATAGTAGAATACTTATGTTCCATAAATATGGCATGTATGGGCTGTTTTTGACGTTAAAAAAAATGTCAAAAATCTTTCATTAGATGTACTTCGAATTTTAGGCCAAAACTAGCCCTTACTGGACCTCCTCCTTTCAGAACAATCATTAACATTCATAACAAGATCCAATTCGAACTGGGCATCACAAACCAGTTATGTCCTTTTTTTACACTATTATTTTAAAGAGCACATATTTTTCATATAGGAAATGTGTCTAAACGAACTTATACATGTTATACATGTACTGTTAAAAAAATCAAAAGTTAATGAACTTGAGGCCATTCAACTTTAGAGCAATGAGATGTATGAAAATGTGTAATTTACTTTCTGTTAACATGCATGGGAACAAATTTAATAATGCAACCCTTTGGCAGTGTAATATTGCATTAAAATTTATTGTTTAATGTCCCCTCTCAAAGCAGTAAGGGGGACATACAAATATTGGGTGTCCATCTGTCCAGTCTTTTAAGCACTCTCAGTTTTTTTAGAAACTAATATCAAAGTTTTATATCACAACATGTACATGTATCAGAATGTCTCAGACAAGTTAAAAAAATCAGTGAAGATAATCTATTTTAAAAGGAGTTATGGCCCTTGGAAAGATAAATTATATGGAAAATTTCATTGCAAGTGCTCTCAAGATAAAAAAAAAATGTGCATTGGTAAGGAACATTGGATTGATGTTCTTTTATTTTAAAATTGTATTTTTCAGGCTCTGTATATACATTGTATACACTCAAAGATGAGAGGCAAAGGGAGATAATTCTACAGGTGGAAGTATAAACAAATATATTTGAAGGAGAATATCTAACAAAGAGCAGATATTGAAAACTACAATGCTGTTAACATGCTGCAGATATTTCCCAAGTATTTGTCAGTGCTCAAGAACCATTTGTAGTTTAAAACTGTTCTCTGGTGAAAGAGACAACAGCTTCTTAAAACATCATGAACAATTTAACTTGCAACACACAACAAAGAGGCATTATGGAACTCCTCTTTCTGACCCAGAAAATAAAGGAGGTCAACAAAGAGGAGTGAACTTTGACACTTTAGGGTCATGGAATAATAGATTAGATATGCCAATCATGATGAATGAGAGTATTAAAAGAGGAAATTTGATTCCAGAAATCCCATTCGAACATGTCGGCATTGATTCACTTCTTGGACGTAGAAAAGTAAATGAAGACAGGTACTTATTTTTCCTGTATATACTGTGGAATCTTTAAATTTCAAAGATATAGATTTCCATTGATAGCTTAATCTGTTGTCTAGCTAAAGTCTGCATACAAACATATAGTAAATTTGTACTTAATTTATCATTTAAATTTTACCTATACCCACCAACATACCAAATCGACGAAGATTGGTATCTAATGAATAATATCTGAATAACTCTTAACCAACTAATCTTGCTTTTACTTTCCCTGAAAATCAAGTGATAGCTTGCTTGATCTCCGTACTTCATTGGTCAAAATTCAATTATGACCTCAAATCTTCTTGAGTTCACCTGATTTTTATGCGCCCGCCGTTGCGGTGGGGGCATTAAGTTTTACCCTTGTCTGTCTGTACGTACGTACGTACGTACGTCCCAAAATTGGTTTCCGTTCTCTAACTTGAGTTTGCCTCAACCAAATGTAATGAAGCTTATACACAATGCTTATTACTACAAAACACAGGTCAAGTTTGAATTTTGGTGGCGGCACTTTAACTGTTCTAGAGTTATGCCCCTTTATAAATGGAAAAATTGCAAAATTTTTAGTTTCCGTTCTCTAACTTAAGTTTGCCTCAACCAAATGTTATGAAACTTATACACAAGGCTTATAACCACAAAACACAGGTCAAGTTTGAATTCTAAAGTTATGCCCCTTTATAAATGGAAAAATTGCAAAATTTTTATTTTCTTCTACATATCAAGTAATTTTTAAAAATCGAGTTATCTTCCTTTGTCCATGATTATAGTTGAATCAACTACAATCAATGCTTTATACAATGCAATGTTTAATTTTGACTTCCACTGATAAAACTCAGTTCAAGTTGAATTTGGGTAGTGTCACTTTAACCATTATTGAGTTATGCCCCTTTATAAATCAAAAGATTGCAAAATTTTTAGTTTCCATTCTGTAACTTAAGTTTGCCCCAACCAAACATTATGAAACCTATACACAATATTCATTACCACAAAACTAAGATCAAGTACAAATTTTTTGTTTCTGTTTTCTAACTTTAGTTTGCCTCAACCAAATGTTATGAAACTTATACACAATGCTTATAACTACATAATACAGATTAAGTACGAAATTTGGTGGCGACACTTTTACCATTCTTGAGTTATGTCCGTTTATAAACATAAAAATTGGTGAATTTTTCGTTCTCGTTCTCTAACTTTAATTTGTGTCAACCAAATGTCATAGAACTTATATACACAACCGTTCTAGAGTTATGCATGTTTACAAATAGAAAAATTGCTGAATTTTTAGTTTCTGTTCTCTACTTAAGTTAGCCTCAACCAAATGTTATGAGACTTACACACAATGCTTATTACCACAAAACTCAGATCAAGTTCAAATTTGGGTAGCGTCACTTTTACCATTCTTCAGTTATGTCCCTTTATAACTATATGATATGCAAGTGGGGGCATCATCTGTGTCTACATGTGGACACTATCCACATTTATTTTTAATGACATGAAAAAAGTTGACCGTGCCAGGTCTTGGGGTCTTAAAATTTTTGAGTAAGGTTATTATCAAAAAAATGGATTTGGTTTTTGTAGCACACATTTTGTACTCCAAGTACTGAATAAAGTTTTATGACACGGAACCCTGATTCAGATAAAAGTAACTCTTGGTTGTGTTATTGAGAGTGATTGCTGGTAATTGTGAGTGAGTCATTCTCAAATCATTCAAATAATCACTCTGTATGTTGAATAGGTTCAATTTAATGTTTGCTAGCTATATATAGCTGTATAGGGTAATAAACTAGATTTTTATCACCTTCAATCACCAGCAAAAGTGTTTTTTGGCATATTCTGATGATCCTGGCCATGGCCTGATAGTCAAGTAACCTCAATAAAAACTTTTAGTGTCTTCACCTGCCTGAATTGACAAATGTGTTCACTATAATTTGAAATATAACTGGTCTTCTAAACTTAGTTTGAGTGTCATGAAAGAAGAGAAACAATTATGATGACCTGATTAGGTATATATGTTTTCTGGTCTATCCTTCTGTGCATCCTGTATCAGGTTGACTTTTATAGTTAAAGTACATTTGTACATATATTTAACCATAATAATAAAATACCCTGATTTCATGGGGCCTCAGTGGCAGAGTGGTCTAAGTAGTCCAACTACTGTATCACTAGCCTATCAACACTGAGGTTGTGATTTCGAACCCCGCACATAGCAGGTGCTAATTTTAAAATCCAATCTTTATTGACATGGCCATGGGTTGTCAGTTTTCTTGCCTAAGGTCTGCGCACTCCAACTCTCTCCACCATTTAAAACTGACCACCAGTCCGCCACGCAATAGTGCAATAGTGTTGAAAGTGGCGTTAAACACCAATCATTCATTCATTCATTCATTCATTCAATACTTTCACATGTGAAAGAAATTGAAATTTCAATCTGTTGAAGTGATACAGTAGGTGTTGTCAATGATGTTATATCAAAACAAAATGAGAACACCTAGGAAAAAGATATAGTTTCTGCTTAATTACACTAAAAGTAAATGTACAAATTCAATGATCATGATGATAGAAAAATATTAAACTTCTGACTGAAGAACAATATGTTGATCAACTCATGCCTTCTTGAATAAATATGATGTTCAGTCTCTCATTGAATAAATTTACAGGTTTAAAATCTTGAATTAGTTATTCTTAACTCTCTCCTTATTTTGACAGATATTTTATGGAGAAGATATCACCGACATTGCTGTGTTTTGCTGTATTTGATGGACATGGAGGATCCGTGGTATCAGATTTTGTATCCAAGGTGTTTACAGATCATATCAAGTTTTGGTTGCTCCGGGAAACTGATTTATGTTTGGTTCTCAGACAGGCCTTTATTGATGTCAACAACATGCTTGCCAGGCACTTATATTTCTATTCTCTTGGTAAGACATGCAGTGACAATTGTCATGGTTACAGGTCAAAGATGGTTCATGTTGCTAAGTACCCGTTCCTCTTATACTTTAGGGTCTAATTTGTTTTTAAATCATTTTTGAATTTTTTATGCCCCCGCCGTAGTGGAATGGGCATTAAGTTTTACCCTTGTCTGTCTGTCTGTACGTCCCAAAATTGGTTTCCGTTCTCTGACTTTAGTTTGCCTCAACCAAATGTTATGAAACTTATACACAATGCTTATTACCACAAAACACAGATCAAGTTCGAATTTTGGTGGGGTCATTTATACCATTCTAGAGTTATGCCCCTTTACAAATGGAAAAATTGCTGAATTTTTCGTTTCTGTTCTTTAGCTTTAGTTTGCCTCAACCAAATGTTATGAAACTTATACACAATGCTTATTACCACAAAACATAGATCAAGTTCGAATTTTGGTGGTGTCACTTATACCATTCTAGAGTTATGCCCCTTTACAAATGGAAAAATTGCTGAATTTTTCGTTTCTGTTCTTGAACTTTAGTTTGCCTCAACCAAATGTTATGAAACTTATACACAATGCTTATTACCATAAAACACAGATCAAGATTGAATTTTAGTGGTGTCACTTTTATCATTCTAGAGTTATGCCCCTTTACAAATGGAAAAATTGCTGAATTTTTCGTTTCCGTTCTCTAACTTTAGTTTGCCTCAACCAAATGTTACGAAACCTATACACAATGCTTATTACCACAAAAATCAGATCAAGGTCAAATTTGGGTAGCGTCACTTTTACAGTTCTTGAGTTATGTCCCTTTATAATTTTATATGCAAGTGGGGGCATCATCTGTGTCCCATGGACACATTCCCCATTTATAACTTAATGAATAGAAAATTATTAGATAGCTATATAAGTTTGATTGTGTACCTTGAATACTTTATTAGAAAAACTAGTTTATCAGACTCACATGCACCTGTTCCAATTTCTGATTGGAGATTTATTACAATTTAAACCCAAAATTGTGTCCTAGCTAGCCCTAAATAGAGGGACAGAGCTTTCTACCCTTTATATCACCCCTTTGTCCTTCTAGTCCTGTCCCATGCACAATAGTTTTCTGAAAAAAAATTTATTTCAATCACAAAATTTTTACATTCCTTAAATACTATAAATCCATCAAACATATATTTTATTTAATATATTCAATTAGTTATCGCTTTATCTAAAACATTATCAGGTGATCCCTTTTTAATCAGACAAGAAAACTTGTTTTAAATGTGTCCTTCATATGGCCTTCATTTACTTTAAATTTAGGAGACCCAACCTATTAAGGGCTATTCTAAATTAACCTTAACCCTTAACTAACCCTTTCCCATACCTAACCCCCCACAAGTCATATTCCTAAAACCTAATCCTAACCTAAATTAATCAATAACTAAGCCCTAACCCTTAACATGCTTAAGTAATGGTTCCCTTAGAGTAAATGAAGGCCTTTAAAATAAGCCCTAAAATAGGTTATACATAAAGATCCTATTGATCTTTAGGCCAACAAATATTATCCTGAACAAATTACCAGCAGTCAAAATTAAGAGTCAGCTTGATGATATATCTGTCAAGGCCTAAGAATCAAAGATCACTTCTCCTTTTTTGTTAATTTTCCTTTTTCTGATACTTCATTTAAAGTACATGTATTGTTTTGTTACACTAAAGTTATTTTCTTGATGACCTTAAAACATTCTTCCCTATTGGTGCAGAATCTGGTTAAAAAAGACGTTTTTATAACTGTCTTTTTTGTCATTGGGTTGCTGTCTCATTGACGTATTACCCACATCTTATATTCAAATATTTTTCACTGATTGGCTTAATACATGTAGTATAATTTTAAAGAAAGGGACAGGATTACTTAGCAGCAGCAACAGGACAGGACTGTTTCATATACATGACATAACACATACATTGTGCTCTGTAAATTGAGCACCTATTCATTAGAGATAATTACCCTTAGTCTTAATGCATTTAGAATTGGGGACTGTGCACGTCATCTCCTATAAACTGGTAACTAGTACCTAATTTTCAGAACACTTTGTATGTTACATGTTAGTAGTACTGTGGATTCATTATTATTTGTTGTATACAAATTTTCATGGTTTCAGTTAGTTTAGGTAAAGCACGAATTTCAATGTTCAATGAAATAAAAAAATTCTTGAGGCTTGTTTGCACAATTTGACAATACAACAAAATCAAAAATCCACAAAAATACAATATCTCCTCAATGTACGAAAATTGGTATCCTCAAAAATAATTAAATCCATGGTATATGAGGTAGTTTTGTAATGCTGCTGTACAAAAATAAGGTGATGAGGTATGATTGCCAATGAGACAACTATCCACCAAAGTTCAAATAAAGTGGACATAAGCATGCAATTATAGGCAACCGTACGGCCTTCAACAATGAGAAAAACCCATACCGTTTATAGTCAGCTATAAAAGGCCCTGACATGAAAAATATGAAACAATTCAATTGAGAAAACCAATAGCCTAACTTATAACAAAACAATTAACGAAAAACAGATATGGCAAACATGACATAACTGTACATATTTAAAATTGTAAGGACATAAATCTCCAGTTTTTATGTCACATGATTTTTTGTCACATGATTGTTTTAGAGATATTTATGGAAATTTACTTGAGTTTGAATTTCTCATGCATAATTAACAGGTTAAAAGTAAAGGCAGAAGATACACCTGAGAATCAAAACTCATAGAAGTCGAAGAGAGATCCACAAAATCATTGTAAAAAAAGAATATTGATGAAAAGACAAACAGCAGTATACAAAAAACTACATAAAAAGCTAAAGATTCAGCAACATGAACCCTAAAAAAACTGTGGTGATCTCCAGTGCTCCTAAAGAGAAATGATAATGAATATAAAATTTGAAGTAAAAAAAATCTCCAATATGTATCAATTGTAATTAATAGGCTATTCTTTCATGATTTTTTCTTTGATTACAATGTACTGGTATTGAAGTTTCTTTTAAATAAACTGTTAACACAGAGATATGTCTCACCTATTTGTTATTTTGATAATGCATATGATGAAATCAAAATAGCAATACTTTAACATGTAAGTTATGCAAATATTTAAAGTCAATCAACCATGACTGACAGATACAGGGCTAAACAATATCCATGCATGGAAATCAGATGTGCCAATGCTAATACAACTACATACCAAATACATTTGATTTTTAATGTGTCGTTCTCTTTAAACAAACCTAAACACAAACATTAACTTGTAAACTATGCAAAAGTTTCAAAGTCAATAAGCCATAATGAGGAGGTGGGGTTATATAATCTCAGTGGAAACGAAACTTGCAAATACCAATACTTTTGCATACCAAATATCAATGACTTAAGATTAATGGTTCATCTTAAACTGACCTAATCACAAACTAATACGTGTAAACTAAGCAAAAGTTTAAAAGTCAATAGACCGTGACTGAGGGGTAAGGACCAAATATACTCCATGGAAATGAGATCTGCTAATGATTATACAACTGCATACCAATTATCATTGACCTACCACTTACAGTTCCCCTTAAACTGATCTAATCACAAACTAATACATGAAAACTAAGCAAAAATTTAAAAGTCAATAGACCATGACAGAGGGGGCGTGGCCAAATAATCTCCATGGAAATGAGATAATCCAATGAATATACAACTGTATACAAAATATCATTGACCTACCACTAGTGGTTCACCAGAAACTGACCTAATCACAAACTAATACATGTACATGAAAACTAAGCAAAAATGTCAAAGTCAATAGACCATGACAGAGGGGATGTGGCCAAATAATCTCCATGGAAATGAGATATGCCAATGCTTATACAACTGCATACCAAATATCATTGACCTACCACTAGTGGTTCCACAGAAACTGACCTAATCACAAATTAATACATGTAAACTAAGCAAAGTTTCAAAGTCAATAAACCATGACTGAGGGGGCAGGCCAAATAATCTCCATGGTAATGAGATATGCCAATGCTTATACAACTGCATACCAAATATCATTGACCTACCACTAGTGGTTCACCATAAACTAGACCTTATCACAAACTAATACATAGTTGACGCCACCAACAACGCCGGAAACAGCATACCTATGTCTCCCTTTTTGACTCTGTCAAGGCGAGACAAAAATTGATACATTGCATTTTCTTTACAGATACAAAAGAGTTTCAGGCAGGAACCACAGCGACAGTCTGTCTACTTAGAGACGGCATTGAACTAGCTATTGGACATGTTGGGGACAGTAGAGTCATTTTGTGTCGTGAAGGACTAGCTCTTAGACTGAGTGAGGACCATGTTCCTGAGAATCATCGAGAGAAAGATCGGGTGCATCAACGGGGTGGCATCATCAGCCACAATAGTCAAGGAGTATGGCAAGTAAATGGCAGGTTATCCATGACAAGAAGTCTAGGTGACATTGAATTAAAGAAGTATGGAGTGACTGCAGATCCTTATTTAACAACCAAAAACGTAATTACTTTATGTGGATAGAACATACATGTACCTGCCAACTTTCCCAATTCATGGATTATCTCCCTTATTAGAGCTGTTGTCCTGACTCTTTTAAAATCCTCCATTATATACATGGAATTCCTCATGCTCATAACAGGCATTCAAAGTACTTAGTAAACATGGCATCCACACACATATACTCCTTCAAAACCACAGTATATATAGACTTATTTTTTTTTGGAATTTAGGAGTTCCAAATTTAACAATTTCATTTAGAAATTTTAAAGTGAAATATTTTTTTGCCATATAAAACTAAAAATCTTCACATAATTATCATGATTATAGTGAGAGAATAATTATTTTTAACGAAAATAAGACTTAATAAATTTTGTGCATGCAAAGCACTTTTCAGGATTATCTTTCATGGGGAACACTGAAACCTTAGCACTTGAAAGACAGCGATGTATAAAAATGTAGAAACCTTCCAAACTATATGCACAGGCAAAAAAAATACCTACCGGTATATACTTTAAAAATTGTTATATTAAAGTAAATAGGTAATTTTTTTTCAGAGACAACTATCTGTGGCTATATGACCAAAAAGGACCTAACAAGAAAAGCCAAATTCATCTAAGGTCAACTTTGCATGAGGGATTTTGAACCTTAATTTCTTAATTATTTCAAAATTTATTGAAAGGGAATTACGAAGTGAGGAATTACAAATTGATAAATCCTGAATTTTATCCTCTATTTTCAAATAATAAAAATCATATATATTTTTTTTTAAACCACACATTGATCATGTTGATGATATTTCTTTTGTGAACTAGAATTTAGGCTTATCTTTAAGACCTTTATGTGAGATTCATTTGTTTTAATGCTTGAACTCATGTACAGCTCCCAAAAATCTCAACTTTTTAAGATAAAAAAAATGTACCTGTAGCAATACAAAAACCAATGATTTATTTTTTAGCTGAAACATGGAAAAGATGCCTTTCTAGTTCTGACGACTGATGGTGTAAACTTTGTATTGAACGACCAGGAACTTATTGATATAATATGTTGTTGTTCAACGCCACAAGAAGCAGCATCATTCGTCACAGATCAAGCGTTACATTTTGGTTCAGAAGATAATTCAACAGCTATAGTTATCCCCCTTGGTGCATGGGGAAAATACAGAACAACACTTCGTGCTATTCCATACAACTTTGGGAGGAATTTAGTGCGAGGACGATATTCATAGCTAATTATGATGATCATTATCTTAACAAAAGTAATTTATCCCCTACTTAAAGATATTAGAGGGCATTATTTTTCTTTTTAGTCTGTATGGTTGACCGTATGTTGTTTGTCCATCCCATATCAGGTTAATGTTTCAATTTAAGAAAGTTTACCATGAAGGTCACATCAATTTAAGACTTGGAATACATGTTTAGTATGTGAACTTTTAAAAATATATGCCAAATTAGAATTTTGCCTCTGATTTAACAGTTCATTGAATCTGGAAATTTAGACATATATTCTTTTTGATGCGTAATTTTGTGATATATATTTATTAAGTCTCCCAAACGAAGTTTGGGAAGACTTATTGTTTTTGCTCAGTTCTTATTATTATTCTTCTTCTTCTTCTTCTTCTTCTTCTTCTTCTTCTTCTTCTTCTTCTTCATCCGCCGCTTTTAAATTTGAACTTGTCCGCACCTGTTCTCCTAAACCGCTTGTCAGATTAACTTAGGGTTTCACAATATGTTAGACTAACATGTCTAGTGGTGCAATCAGGGTTTTGTTTGTGCAATGGGGTTTATAAAGGGGTACTTTGAGGGGCAAAAAGAAAAGAGGGTTTTACTATAGAACCCTATGGGATTTTATTTTTTAAAATTTTCAAATGATTATAAATTGAAAACCGTTTGTGATAGACACAATCTTTTAAATTGAAAATGTTCTAAATGATAAAGCCCATTAAATGAAATATAGGGTTAGTCCCCAGGGGTCACCCCCACCCCCTGCCATTTAAGAAAGTTCTAATATCTTCTAAGTGGTCAAGATCCCCACCCCTAAACCATATATATTATGGTTTGTAATGCTAAGATGGTATGAATGATATACAGGGTTAGTCCCCAGGGGTCATCCCGACCCCCTGCCATTTGATTAATTTCTAATATCTTGTAAATGGTCGAGATCCCCACCCCTAAACCAAATATATTCTGGTTTGTCATGATAAAGCACATCAAATGAAATACATGGTTAGTCCCCTGGGGTCACCCCCACCCCCTGCCATTTAAGAAAGTTCTAATATCTTGTAAGTGGTCAAGATCCCCACCCCTAAACCATATATATTCTGGTTTGTCATGCGAAGATGGTTTGAATGATATACAGGGTTAGTCCCCAGGGGTCATCCCGACCCCCTGCCATTTGAGAAAGTTCTAATATCTTGTAAATGGTTGGGATCCCCACCCCTAAACCATATATATTCTGGTTTGTCATTATAAAGCACATCAAATGAAATACATGGTTAGTCCCCTGGGGTCACCCCCACCCCCTGCCATTTAAGAAAGTTCTAATATCTTGTAAGTGGTCAAGATCCCCACCCCTAAACCATATATATTCTGGTTTGTCATGCGAAGATGGTTTGAATGATATACAGGGTTAGTCCCCAGGGGTCATCCCGATCCCCTGCCATTTGAGAAAGTTCATATATCTTGTAAATGGTCGAGATCCCCACCCCTAAACCATATATATTCTGGTTTGTCATGATAAAGCACATCAAATGTAATACAGGGTTAGTCCCCAGGGGTCACCCCCACCCCCTGCCATTTAAGAAAGTTCTAATATCTTCTAAGTGGTCAAGATCCCCACCCCTTAACCATATATATTCTGGTTTGTCATGCTAAGATGGTTTGAATGTTATACAGGGTTAGTCCCCAGGGGTCATCCCGACCCCCTGCCATTTGAGAAAGTTCTAATATCTTGTAAATGGTCGAGATCCCCACCCCTAAACCATATATATTCCTGTTCGTCATGTAATGAACATTTGAATGACGTATAGGGCCAGTCCCCAGGGGTTTATCCCCACCCCCAATGTTCTAGTATCTTGTAAATGGTCGAGATCCCCACCCCTAAACCATATATATTCTGGTTTGTCATGCGAAGATGATTTGAATGATATACAAGGTTAGTCTCCAGGCATCACTAATGCATATAACTTTACTGGACCAAACCAATTTTCACTGGACGTTTCCCAATGTCAGGCGACCCTGGGAATTACGAATTATGGGAGCTTCGTTTGGGAGACTTCGTAACAGCATCCTGTTACAATCATTTCTTGTTTTTTATGTGTTTATGGTTTTCAATAGAGAAATATCTGTCATTGTAGTTATTGTTTCTATGAACAAAGCCATTCTTCTGCAAATACAAATGCACATAGACGAGTTGTAACAAAAAATCTTAGTACTACTAAAATTGATCGTAAGTCTTACACAATTCAGTATGCTTACGATCAATTTTATAGTCGTAAGATTTATTGTGAAACTCATTCCAGGTACTTATAACTATAAACCCTATATCTCGTTAAGACAAATGCAAACTAAATTACGATGTAAAATTGGCGACCTACAGGATAGTGCCAAGTTCTGTGTTTAATTTTCACTTAATGATACATCATGTACATACAGGGTTTCTCCTGGGTCAAACTTTTTTTCGCCTCCTCTTTCGCCAAAACAATATATTTTTCACCAACTAACATAAACATATTTTGTTTACAACTTGTTTTCCTTCTTATTAAAAACACTTTTTAATTTAACAAGACAATTAACACCTTTTTCAATTAGTCCATTGTTGTCAGTTGCTATCAGATGCAATCAGCTGATTATTGATTTTCTGTCAAAATCGTTACATGTGAGGAGTGCAAGGTAAAATCTGAGTATTGTCTGACCAGGGGAAAAGTCTGAGGAACCTGAATAAAATTACTAAGATGGACAAGTCAAACTGTTATATTTCTTTCACCAAATTCTTTGGTCAGTCGTGATTTTTAATTTGCACAATTTTTCTTTATTCACAAATTGCGAAAGTGGTGACCTCCAGCGGAAACCCTGGATACATAATAGAATTAGAAGAAAAAAATGTGTAAAAATCATTAATACTCACTAAAAAGGGGAAAAAAAACAATACATAAAGCTTAAGATTTATTTACCCAAGTGATGTAAAAGTTTTACTATGAAAACGTGTAATGAAGTTGGCACTGTCCTATGAATACTGTGGATTCATTTGTTTTCATGGGTACCAATTTTCGTGGATAAAGGAAAACTAGTATGTTCGTGGATATCAAATTTCGTGGTTTTGCCGAGTTCTGCATACAAGCCTATAGAAAATGTGTCATTCGTTGAACATTAAATTTCGTGGTTTACCTGTACCCACGAAATCCACGAAGATTGCTATCCAACGAATAATAATGAATCCACAGTAGTAATTACTCTTTGAAACAAATAACTGTTTATGGGCAGACAACTTGAAGGAATTTATTTGTCTAATTCAGTTCTCAATTATATTTCTTTCTTTAGTCACCTAAATCTAAGTGTGAGCTATTCAGTTCAGAGTCTACTTTCCAATTTTTTTAAAAATAATTCCTTTGTGGTTGAATACCTCTCAACCAGCAGCCACCATTGCTAGAAATAAATCATGGAATCAAATATCAACAATAATCATAAACAATGCACAACATTTCAAAGGCATTGTTATGTTCTTGTATATGTTTTCAAGAAACAGATAAAAATTGTATATACTTATGAATAAAAGAAGAGATGGGCTATATATTAATGAGACAGCAACCCAACGACACAGGCAAAAAAACATATAGAGTTCAACAACAAATGTCTAATACAATATGTCAAGCTCTAAATTGCTCTGAGCATTAAAACTTAAGTATAAAGTTCATCAATACCAAATTCCCCAAGTGGCAAAATGAAAACATGCATTAACAAGGACAGGCATGTGAGCATATGGCAAAATAAAAACATGCATTAACGAGGACAGGCACATGAGCATATGGCAAAATAAAAACATGCATTAATGAGGACAGGCACATGAGCATATGGCAAAATGAAAACATGCATTAATGAGGACAGGCACATGAGCATATGGCAAAATGAAAACCTCCATTAATGAGGACAGGCACATGAGCAAATGGCAAAATAAAAACATGCATTAATGAGGACAGGCACATGAGCATATGGCAAAATAAAAACATGCATTGACAAGGACATGCACATGAGCATATGTCAAAATAAAAACATGCATTAATAAGGACAGGCACATGAGCATATGGCAAAATAAAAACATGCATTGATGAGGACAGGCACATGAGCATATGGCAAAATAAAAACATGCATTGATGAGGACAGGCACATGAGCATATGTCAAAATAAAAACATGCATTGATGAGAACAGTTCATGAGCATATGGCAAAATAAAAACATGCATTGATGACGACAGGCACATGAGCATATGGCAAAATAAAAACATGCATTGACGAGGACAGGCACATGAGCATGTGGCAAAATAAAAAAAACACATGCATTGACGAGGACAGGCACATGAGCATATGGCATAGTTAAAGTTGTGTTATGAGATATCAAACCTCCCCTTTTCACCTTGTAACAATGTTTTAGATTTTTAACGAGAGACATTTATGTATTACTGAAAAATTATTACACCAGGGTTTTCGATATCACAAACTAGTCAAAACATTTACTAAATTTTATCATCGGTATAAGGACATCATTTGTAAATATAGCTCAACATGCAGACTTCTTATACGTTCAGGTATTTCACATCCATTTTTTTATGGAAATATTCTTTATAAAGCACAAAAATGTCAGTATTCACCTCTGAAGCTAACAAAACCTTTAAATAGACTTATTAAGAAGGGATAAAGTTATGATACTGTTGTCAGGTCATTAAAGATTGCATATTTTGGCGTTAATATTGATTCACTTATAGGGTCTTTGCATCGGCACTAAACACATTTATTTAAAAACCAGTTGTTGGCATGACACGGGTTATGTTCTTCTCATATATGTTATGATGGTATGATACTAAACCCCTAACGGGAAGGATTGTGCCTGATATTCATATGATGAAGACATAATCTTTCAATCAGTTTAATTGAAGTCTGGAGCTGGCATGTCAGTTAACTGCTAGTAGTCTGTTGTTAGTTATGTATTATTGTCATTTTGTTTATTTTCTTTGGTTACATCTTCTGACATCAGACTCGGACTTCTCTTGAACTGAATTTTAACTGTCTGACGGGCATGATGACCTTGCAAGGTACGCACATACCAAATATAGTTATCATATTATTCATAATAAGAGAGAAATTAACATTACAAAAAATCTTAACTTTTTTTTCAAGTAGTCACTGAACCACGAACATGAGGTCAAGGACAATGGACATGTGACAAATGGAAACTTCGTAACATAAGGCATCTATACACAAAATATGAAGCATCCAGGTCTTCCACCTTCTAAAATATAAAGCTTTTAAGAAGTTAGCTAACGCCGCCGCCGCCGGATCACTATCCCTATGTCGAGCTTTCTGCGACAAAAGTCGCAGGCTCGACAAAAAACATCTTTGGAATCCTGCACTTTCTAATCAAAACCTAACATTTACCAATGAACCATGAAAAGGAAGTCTAGGTTAGATGAACCATTATAGACAGACATGTTCACCTTACAATCAAAATAAACATCAGATATGGTTACTGAAAGTGACTGGGAAGTGGACCTTATCACAAAATCTCAATGTTGACCAATGAACCGTGAAATGATGTCAGGGTCAGATGATCCTTGTCAAGATGACCATGTAAATCTTACAATAATTATATTCAAGAAATTTTGAGTTGACCTATAACTTACATTAATTGAGAATCTACCTACATACAGAAGACAATTACTTTTAGTTCCTAAATACATCATGACATTAACTAATCATGAAATCTAAAATATTCAATAAACAATGAAAATAAGACAATCATATCCACTTCTTTTGAACATGGGTTGATAGTTGTCTTATTGGCAATCATACCACATCTCCTGATTTTTATAATTATCCTTTTTGTTCTCCTAGTACTTGTGCTTTTGTGATCTTTATACTGGATTCTACTTTTAAGTACTTCTCTTGTCATGATTCTTATTGTACAAACATTTAAATACCTTTAATATTTTAAGTAATCAAGGTGAAAAGGGGAGGTTTGATATCTCATAACACAACTTTAACTATGCCATATGCTCATGTGCCTGTCCTCGTCAATGCATGTGTTTTTTATTTTGCCACATGCTCATGTGCCTGTCCTCGTCAATGCATGTTTTTATTTTGCCATATGCTCATGTGCCTGTCCTCATCAATGCATGTTTTTATTTTGCCATATGCTCATGTGCCTGTCCTCATCAATGCATGTTTTTATTTTGCCATATGCTCATGAACTGTTCTCATCAATGCATGTTTTTATTTTGACATATGCTCATGTGCCTGTCCTCGTCAATGCATGTTTTTATTTTGCCATATGCTCACGTGCCTGTCCTCATCAATGCATGTTTTTATTTTGCCATATGCTCATGTGCCTGTCCTCGTTAATGCATGTTTTTATTTTGACATATGTGCATGTCCTAGTCAATGCATGTTTTTTTTTGCCATATGCTCATGTGCCTGTCCTCGTTTATGCATGATTTTATTTTGCCATTTGCTCATGTGCCTGTTCTCGTTAATGCATGTTTTCATTTTGCCGTATGCTCATGTGCCTGTCCTCGTTAATGTATGTTTTTATTTTGCCATATGCTCAAGAGCCTGTCCTCATCAATGCAGGTTTTATTTTGCCATATGCTCATGTGCCTGTCCTCATCAATAAAATTGAGAATGGAAATGGGGAATGTGTCAAAGAGACAACAACCCGACCATAGAACAGACAACAGCAGAAGGTCACCAACAGGTCTTCAATGCAGCGAGAAATTCCCGCACCCGGAGGCGTCCTTCAGCTGGCCCCTAAACAAATATATATACTTGTTCAGTGATAATGAACGCCATACTAAACTCCAAATTGTACACAAGAAACTAAAATTAAAAATAATACAAGACTAACAAAGGCTAGAGGCTCCTGACTTGGGACAGGCGCAAAAATGCGGCAGGGTTAAACATGTTTATGAGATCTCAACCCTCCCCCTATACCTCTAGCCAATGTAGAAAAGTAAACGCATAACAATACGCACATTAAAATTCAGTTCAAGAGGAGTCCGAGTCTGATGTCAGAAGATGTAACCAAAGAAAATAAACAAAATGACAATAATACATAACTAACAACAGACTACTAGCAGTTAACT